TGGAGAGAAATCTAACAGGAATCTCAAATTTGTTCGCTTCCTTTATACATTTCTATTCTATTTGTTTCCCTCTGCCAACTAGGACATCTAGAAAAGCTAAACTACCATTCTTTTCTAATTCACTGGAAAACTTGGCCTTCCGTTAGATTTTATTCATTAACCTTGGAAAGTCTTCCAGACTTTCTTTGCCGTGTGGAAAAATGGCAAACTAGTCGTTCGTGTACCTTAGCCATAATTTATGAGCCAAAGGTACATCTTTTATTAAGTGACTTTCTGACTGAGCCATTCAGTTATTTGCTCAAATTGGGGACGAACACGTGTTTGTTTGTACAATTTGCCATTAGAGGTAAAATAGGTAAAGTTTATCACTAAATTCGTCAATCATTATTGAATTCTTTATTAAATGAGTACTCAAAATATCCGGGCGTTGACCCAGTTTTAATTTTAGAGCCTATTTAGCTCGGTTCTACATCAAAACAAATGAGCAAAAGCCCACTTTCCTTCATTTGTTCATCGGCTAACTGATCGAATTCACAAGAATTCCTTATTGAAAATTGCGATGTTTTAGAGATTCGAATGTGTATATCGTGATGTTTCATACATCACACTACCCTTATTATTGACAATACTTCGAAATAGGACTTATTTCTTTTATAATTTGGGTAGACCATACACATTCGGTGACCTGGCATCTCATTGATGAAGTATTTTCATTTTCCGCATCTTAATTTCATATTTGTTTAAAAATGTTGCAAGCAGCCCATAAGTCTAGATCTTACGGCTTTTGTAGGGTCCTTACGGATAATTTTGTATGTTACCATATCATCTAGGGCCTACATAATATTTTTTACATAACTAACCTTGTCCATAACTACAACTGCTTCTTTTTTGTCTGCCCTTAGCATTACTTGACCCGTATCTTGTTTTTTTCATAATTTTGTTTACGCTCTTATTCCTTGTCGATACCTCTACATTACTATCATTTTAAGAGACAACATGCAACTTGATAGCAATGCTTAGTTTTTTCTGGCAAACGATCGCTAAACTTATGAGTCCTAACAATATTTATTCGCTTTTGTCCTATTGTTGGGCAGTACAAAATGCATTTCTGAGAAAGAAATTCTTCAGTGGTAATATCCAACGCTGTTTTGGACAGGTTTAGTAATTTCGTTCCTGCTCTATTTCGCTCTTTTACATCAACCTTTACTGTTTCCAGATAACTCCTTGTCTTAATTATTATACTCAAATTCCTACGCTTTATTATGTTTTTCCTTAAAATGTTGAAAAACTTCATCCTATGACTTATCTATCATTGAAAACTAAAGAACCCGTCCGAGCTAAGAGTGTCAGGCAATAGTTATCATAATATGGTTTTTATTCTAAACAAATAATGCAATTTCATAGTTAATCGAAGGTATGAAGACCAAGATTGTGTGGCCTTTTGTGTGGTCGCAGTCTCCTTTCGTTGTATAGAAGTTATTTGACCTTGTTTTCGCAACTTTATTGGTAGAAAGACTTAGAGGAACACACCTAGTGCGGAGTCCATTGTATGCATCATCATTTCCAGACGTTTCGCCGGCATCGTAGTCGGCATCGTCAGTCTTATAGTGTTTTATCGAATTCTAAACAGCTCAATCGTGGGATACACTCAGAAGGGCTTCCTTAGTTCTACTTGCAATTTTCGGTCTATTAATAATATAACATTTAGGAATGGTTTTGTGATGAATATAATTTCGAAAACCGAATATGGTTAACTTTTCTGGTCAGCGCTTTCTTGTTTCTAGTTTAGATTAACGAACCTCGAAAAGTTTGGTGTGTGTAGGCTCTTCGTAAATAATCAGAAAAGCTGGTGTTCGAAGAATCCTATAATAGTTTGATGTTAATGTAGAGCGCTTCACATTTCCAAATGCTTTTCTGCACTAAGCGTACTTCTTGATACCTCGTGTGACTTCAGTCCTTGGAGATTTCACCATTTTTTATTTTAACTACATTTTTTTACCTAGCATTTCGCTGTTGCTACTGTGGATACATGAATGCGCCAAAGAAGGTGCGTCAGAAGACTACTGTTCCTCCCATTCTGACGCAGTCCATTTCGGTTTCTCAGCCACCTTCTGAGGACTCGGAGGTTCGGATGCGCAAGTTATCCACAATGAGCTTGAATGAAGACCAACTGGGTTCTATTAAAACTATCAACACTAGCCTGGGGGCAGTACTGGACTCCGAACAAAAACCAGAAAAACCTCTGAGCGCTTCTTCGGATAAATTAAATACGGTAGTTAATTTGCTTGCGACAATGATTCTATACTTCTCTGCTTATTGGCCATCTTTAGCTTTAAACCTACATCATCACACGCTATATTCTTTGAATTGCTTGGTTATTTACTTCGGATTTATCAATAGTAAGCACACGATAAGCATAGTTGTTAATTACCGAATGAAGCTAAGATTAGGATCTTTTTTCATGCCTTGAGTATTAACCTTGACATTTATTTTATATATTGTTTATTTCCACATTCATTCTTCACAATTTCATTATGAGTAGGCATTTAAATCGTGCTTATGCCTTATTCGAGATGAGAGTGATTGTGTGGAACAAATTCCCCTAGCATGTTTCCTTTAGCATGCATACTCATAAGTAGTATAGACCTATTATAGAATCATGAAATCATAAATGTGCCAAGTAAATTCATTAGTCTCAGCTCAGAAGGTGAAATGACCCAAATCTAATGAATAATTCATATGGATATATCCAGAAACTTATGGATCTAGCTTTACAACTAAGGTATAAGACCAAGATGGTGTGGCCTTTTTTGTGGTCGCAGTCTCCTTCCGTAGTATAGAAATTGTTT